TTCATACAGATGGACTGTAAATCTAACAAACCTTCATGTATTACTACAGTTTGTGGCTCTGAGAGTTAGTGTCTCAGTCCGAGTACTTAGGAATTACAACTGATTACTCGCTCTAATTTAAACGTCAGCAACTGGTGAAAAAATTGAAATTGAAACTTGATCCTTTTCGTCATTTGAGGCAAGAAAGATGTGATTTGTATGCATGCATGCTCTGCTTATGCTGGATTCTGTTCATCGTGAGCTTCCTTACACACTCTAAACCTCTTACTGTCGGGTTGGGTGGTTATGTCGTAGACTCAACCTCTGGTATGTTCTTATTTATCAGGCTATTCTTATTTACAAACTAACACCCATCAAAAAAGTATGGGAAGCTACTGTTTTGGGTGCCAAGAATTGTTCTTCTTTCTCAGAGGTTCACAGTAAATTTGGAAAAAGAGCATGCAGCTCCTTCCTCCTGGAATCAGCTGGGGAACCAACTGGTCTCACTCAATGAATTTAAAGTAAATGTGAACAACTTGAATGCAGTTAATTCAGGCTCTTTGACTGTGCTTTACTGTTGTATGGATATGCATGCTCTATTAGTTTATGCAACGTATGATTGTACTGCTGTCCGTCTTGGCCAGGTAAAAGAGATTTTTAATGTCAAGAGTTTGTCATTTTCCTGTTTTCATAAAGGTAAAAATAATAATAGTAATACTGTGGAGAACAGTCAGAATTGTTCTTTTGGTCCATAGCTGATGAAAAATGGAAATAGCTTCTTGGTCTGAAAGTACCTTGAACATGAATTATTTGTAGTAGCCAGCAGGGGGCAGAATCCTCTGGTTCTGAAAAGACTTGTGCATATTTTCCTGTGACTGTAGAGGTCAACAAACAGGATTGTCCAGTCCCACTGGCTAATGTCTTTCAATTAAGAAGTAATTAGCCTCTGAGCATGTGGTGTCCACACTTACCCAGCCTTTTTTTAATCACAGTCTCCAACACTGAGGTGCTGATGTGAACATTCTGAGCTTAGCTTCCTCACTAATGCTTTTCCAACCAGTTACTGTGAGAAGCCACTTTTTTTATGCCCAATTTCTGTTGGAGTCTCTGTCATGCTGGAAGCTAGCCATGTTTCCTCCTTCAAGCACAGGCCGGGGAGGACTGGTGGCAGCTATCTTTTACTCCAGCTCATGAAATAACCAAAGACCCAGACAGGAAGCAGGAGTTTACATTTGGAAGCTTGACTCTAAGCCTCGAATACATCCATCCATCTTCATCCGCTTATCCGAGGTCGGGTCGCGGGGGCAGCAGCCTAAGCAAAGAGGTCCAGACCTCCCTCTCCCCAGCCACCTCCTCCAGCTTGTCCGGGGGAATACCAAGGCGTTCCCAGGCCAGCCGAGAGATATAATCTCTCCAGCGTGTCCTGGGTCTGCCCCGGGGCCTCCTCCCGGTGGGACATGCCTGGAACACCTCGCCCAGGAGGCGCCCAGGGGGCATCCTTGCCAGATGCCCGAACCACCTCAGCTGGCTCCTTTCGATGTGGAGCAGCAGCTGCTCTACTCTGAGCCCCTCCCGGATGGCCGAACTTCTCACCCTATCTCTAAGGGAGAGGCCAGCCACCCTTCGGAGGAAGCTCATTTCCGCCGCTTGTATCCGCGATCTCGTTCTTTCGGTCACTACCCACAGCTCGTGGCCATAGGTGAGGGTAGGGACGTAGATCGACCGGTAAATTGAGAGCTTCGCTTTTACACTCAGCTCCCTCTTCACCACGACGGACCGGTGCAGCGTCTGCATTACTGCAGCTGCAGCCCCAATCCGTCTGTCGATCTCCGGCTCCCTTCTCCCATCACTCGCGAACAAGACCCCGAGATACTTGAACTCCTCCACTTGGGGCAGGAACTCATCCCCGACCCGGAGTGGGCACTCCACCCTTTTCCGGCTGAGAACCATGGCCTCAGATTTGGAGGTGCTGATCCTCATTCCCGCTGCGTCACACTCGGCTGCGAACCGTTCCAGTGCGAGCTGGAGGCCCTCACCCGATGAAGCCAACAGAACCACATCATCCGCAAAAATCAGAGATGAGATTCTGAGGCCACCAAAGCGAAAGCCCTCCGCCACTTGGCTGCGCCTAGAAATCCTGTCCATAAAAATTATGAACAGAACCGGAGACAAAGGGCAGCCCTGGCGGAGCCCATCACCCACCGGGAACGAGTCCGACTTATTGCCGGCAATGCGAACCAAGCTCTTGCAACGGTTGTATAGGGATCGAATGGCCCGTAGCAATGGGCCAGACACCCCATACTCCCGCAACACCTCCCACAGGACACCCCGAGGGACACGGTCGAATGCCTTCTCCAAGTCCACAAAACACATGTAGACTGGTTGGGCAAACTCCCATGCACCCTCAAGTATCCTCGAGAGGATAAAGAGCTGGTCCAGTGTTCCGCGACCAGGACGAAAACCGCATTGTTCCTCCTGTATCCGAGGTTCGACTAGCGGACGAACTCTCCTCTCCAGCACCCTGGCATAGACTTTCCCAGGGAGGCTGAGGAGTGTGATCCCCCTGTAGTTGGAACACACCCTCCGGTCCCCCTTCTTAAAGATGGGGACCACCACCCCGGTCTGCCAGTCCACAGGCACTGCCCCTGATCTCCACGCAACATTGCAGAGACGTGTCAACCAAGACAGCCCTACAACGTCCAGCGCCTTCAGGAACTCGGGGCGGACCTCATCAACACCAGGGGCTCTGCCACCAAGGAGTTGTTTAACTGCCTCAGTGACCTCGCCCCCGGAAATTGGCGGGTCATACCCCTCATCCCCAGACTCTGCTTCCTCCTCGGAAGACGTGTCAGTGGGATTAAGGAGGTCCTCGAAGTATTCCTTCCACCGCCCGACAATTTTCTCAGTCTTAAAAGTTTCTATTTGAATTCTCTTTTAACCGTCATTTAATGCTTATTTCAGATAAAATAATTATAGTGGGTGATTAAATTTTCGTATACGTACTGAAATCAACAGCCTAAACACTGCATTTAATCTATTATTAGACCCAGTTGGCTTTAATCACACTCTGAGCCTCATTCTGACACAAGGCATAGGAAATGGACATTAGTGAATACTGTTTAATGTCTGATCTTTTCTTAATAAAGTTTACATGTGCAAAAATGGACTACAAGAAAAAAAAGAGAGCCTCAAATCAGAAGTGCTTGACTTCCTTGTACAACTTACAGACACGGGCCTTAAAGCAGATAGCTCTGGAGAGCAAATGGCATCTCACTAATTTAGAAATTCGTTTTTTCTTTCTTTTTAAGGCCCTCAGTGAAGATAGGACTTATTTATCACTGAGTGAAGCAAATGAGTACATCTCCAGGTTTCTCGTCAGAGCTGTAACCAGGCTGATGAAAACTCAGAGCGCTGTTCAGCCCAGCATTCCTTTAACCTTAAACAGTAACCACTCCATCAATTTCTTCACAGATAACATTTTAACCATTAAAGAAAGAAATATTGATGACCATCTCACAGACATTATGTCCAAAACTTTCAATACTACTGATATTTATTTAGACTCTTTCTCTTAGATTGTTTGAGTAATTTGATTACTTCCTCCAACATATCTTTTAGACCCCATTCCTACAAGACTGCTCAAAGACATCCCACCATTAACTAATCCCTTTATCTTAAATATGATCAAAATATCTTTACTCCCTAACTTCTCTTAATATCACGTGACCAGCTGTCTTATATATCTCTGACCTTCCTTTTATCAATTGTTGAACGAGTAGTTGTAAAACAACTGTTCATCTGCAGATATATGGTTTTGTTGAAGTCAGAGCTCATCACAGCACAGAAACAGCACTAGTGAAAATACTGAATAATCGTACGGCCTCTGACAGTGG